TTTATTTATTTTTATTTCATAAACATAGATTCTATGAAACATTTTTGGGTTTTTATTTGGTCCATTAATGAATAAGTAAAATACTAAATAAACCACTGGTAAAATAATTTTTTTTCTTTCTCATTTTGGTTTTATTCCCATTTTTCAAGTTAAGTATTAGTAGGAGAACATAGAATTATGTGGTGATGTAACACGTGTCTTGAAAATTCACCATCTATAATCATATTTTGTTTTCATAGACTACAATCGTGTATTTATTTTTTTATTATTGTTAAGAAAATATTTTTTCTGTGATTGAACATTCACTTGGTCTATTGTAAAAAATTGGTTGGGGTAATAAGTATATGAAGGGTAATGAGGTTCAAAAAACTGCCCCAAGAACTGTACTTTCGTAAAGAATTGTATGCAGTTTGAGTGTATTGGCTCTTAATGTACTTCTATAATAGTTCCAGCTAAATTCAGTCTGTGGCAGAGTGTAATTGTGAGAAGTAAAGTTAGAATAAGGGAAACACCATAATTTTAATAACGTTGAGTTGTTATACCAAGTGAATGACGAGGAAACCAACCAATCGGAACAGGTTGTAGGCTTGCCATCGTTATTTCCTCACCAATCGGAACAAGTTGTAGGCTTGCCATCGTTATTTCCTCACCAATCAGAACAGGTTGTAGGCTTGCCATCGTTATTTCCTCACCAATCAGAACAGGTTGTAGGCTTGCCATCGTTATTTCCTCACCAATCGGAACAGGTTGTAGGCTTGCCATCGTTATTTCCTCATAGACGATAACTTAAATGATATATTTGATCGGAAACGTATTTCAATTTGACATTGTTTTTCTTTGGTACAGTTTTATTTAAATCCTCCGAGTTCCTATGGTCACAATATTATCTTGTTAAAACACCATTGATGGGTTTTGCTGACTTATGACAACAGTCTCCACTTCTAAACATCTTATGATCATTTTTCTAGGTTTACGGCATCGTGTATTAAAAGAAAAACGAATACCCATATTTTAGTATGTTAAGGGTTTTATCACATCATAATGAAAGAAAATGTGAATTTTAAGAGATACCACTGATTTTTACAACTTGTATTT